AAACTGGTCTGCCCGCAGTCCAGATCTGTCACCCACTGATAACATTTTGTGCATTATGAAATGTACAACAAAGGAGACCCCGAACTGATGAGCATCTGAAATCCTATATCAAACAAGAATGGGAAAACATTTCACTTTCAAAACTACAGCAGTTGGTACAGAGTGTTGTTAAAAAAAAAAGATGATGAAACACAGTGGAAAACAGGCCCCCGGCCCAACTTTTTGGGAATGTGTTGTTGGCATCAAATTCAAAATGGGCATATTTCTCAAAGAACAACAAGATTTCTCAGTTTCAACGTTTGATATGTTGTCTTTGTTCTATTTTCAATGAAATATAAGGTTTAAATGATTTGCACATTATTGCATTTTTTTTAATTTACATTTTGCACAGCGTCCCAACTTTTTTGGAAAAGGGGTTGCATAAATATTTCTAATATTTTTAAAAATTTTGTTGCTGTTTTTTTTTCCTGTTGCTGCTAATGTTTATTATTATAGTTATTATTATTATTATTATTATTGTTATTATTACAATTATTTTCATTAGTAGCAGTAGTTTTTAATTTTGTTTTTCTGCTGTTTATTATTATTATTATTATTGTTGTTGTTGTTGTTGTTGTTATGAGGGAATGCTTTTAAATATTTTAGGAGAAAAAGAGCTGCGCTAAGACAGCACACTTTGCCATCAGTGCACCGAATGGTCCCTGTTTAAAGCTTGGCTTTATTAATAGAGGAGAATCTGTGAGAATAACATTTCCACAGCTTAAGACTTTAAAGGAGAGTGAACTGGAGAGATAGCGGGAAGGCAACCTGAAGCCTGGACTGGTGTCTTTATTCCTCCCTCCGTCTCTGTGATATCAATAATTCCTTATCTAAATGGATCCAGGGCTGTGTGTAACAGCTTTGGCTTGCATGCGACCGTGCCAAGGCTCATAAATAAATATGAAGGGAGGAGAGGGATGCTGTAGATTAGCCCAGAGCACGGGAGAGTCGCTCTAAAAGGCCTGGCAGCAACACTGCCCCCTGTGCAGGCCATGTTCAACGCTGCCAACGTAGTCTCGCCCCGTTTAATACCGGCAGCCCTCGCAGAACTGATCTGCACTGACAGATCTGGAAAAAAGGAGAAGGCCCTGGCTGACAGAAAATTCATCTCTACACCACATTAATGCCCCCGCTCCACTGCATCTACAAGTCCACAGAGTGGGAAGACAAGGTACGGCCAGACAGACAGAGTGAGGGACAAAAGCAGGGAGAGGTGGAAAAGGGGGGGGACTTTTATTTTGACACTCAGACAGACGGATTATTCTCCTGCTGCACTGGGCTCAACGAGCCGTGACGGGTCCATCTCCCACCGCCGACACACAGCGTCTGAAAATGCCTTTCCTTTCACCACACACACCCCGCACACATGCGTGTGCGCTGAAGGGAAAAAAAAATCGTCCCCTAAACCTCCACAAACCAGTCGCGACCAGGCTGGGATTACGTAATGCTGCAGCCTGAGCCGGTGCTGTCGCCTGCCAGGGAGGGTACGTGTGATGGGAGGAGGGACGAGAGCAGAGGCAGAGTGATCTATTAGAGCTAATAATTGCAATAATAAAACTGCAAAAGATGTGATCATCTCGCTGAGGCGCCACAGACAAGCTGTTGTCCTCTCAAGGTCAGAGGATCATCAGCACACTCTCTAATGACTACCTGCTGAGACCGTCCGCGAGCGATTAGTGTGTGTTATTCTGTCATTCTAATTCACTTCACTTCACACCACAACTGCAAAAACTATTGGAAAACTACAATGTAGGAGAGGAGCAGTGTGATAATAGGTAATAAAAAAGCAATATTATAGGTGTTTTATGCAGGGCTATACAGAGGGCTGTATGTATTATTATACACTATCATACAGAGCTATAAGGAGGGCTACAAGTATTGATATGTATGGCCAGGCTATATGGACACCAATAAGAAGTTCTATATAGAGCTATAGGCATTATTATGCAAGGATTTATGGATGAATATAGGCAGTTCAGTAAATGGCTATATGGGGGGCTACAGGCATTATTACACAGGACTACATGGAGGGTTATAGTCATTGTTATGTAAGGCTACATGGACAGCTATAGGCATTATTATATAGGGCTACATGGACAGCTATAGGCATTGTTATGGAGGCTATATGGATGGATATACGCATCATTACATAGGGCTGTATGGATGGCATTAGGTAGTTCTATATAGGGCTGTAGGCATTATTATGTAAGGATATATGGATAAATATATGGGCAGTTTTGTATAGAGCTATATGGGGGCTACAGGCATTATTACACAGGACTATATGGAGGGTTATAGTCATTGTCATGTGAAGCTACATGGACAGCTATAGGTATCGTTATGCAGAGCTACATGGACAGCTATAGGCATTGTTATAGAGGCTATATGGATGGCTATAGGCATTATCATGTGGGCTGTATGGACGGCATTAGACCGTTCTATATAAGACTATATGGATGGCTATATGTATTACTTTGCAGAGATATATGGATGCTATAGGCATTACCATGTAGTGATATTTGACGGGCTATAGGAAGTAAAATGCACGGTAGGGATTGCTATGAAGGGCTATAAGGGGACTGTAGAGATTATATCAAAGGCTACCTAGGGGGTATACACATTACTATACAGGGCTATATGGAGAGCCATAGAAATGTCTAATATTGGGCTATTGGGAGGTAAACATTCCAATATCTGGCTCTATGGAGTACCATAGGTATTATTATGTAAAGTTATATGGACAGTACATTACTATATAAGATGTCATAGGCATTACTATGTAGTAATGCATGATGAAGTAAAGCCATTTCCATTTACAGCGTTTAGCAGACACTCTTATCCAGAGCGACCTACAAAAAGTGCTTTGTCTATCTAGAGAAAGTATCTTTGCTAGTTACCAATAGGTTAGAGAGAAAGCTGGTCCTGAGCTCAGATACTGCTAGAAACAAAAAGTCCCTGTTGATACCCAGAGAAAAAGAAACAGAGAAACACAGCGCAGTGCAATACAATACAATATAATACATTTCAATACATTTCAATAAGTGCAGTACAATACATTACAAAGAATACTTTTCTCAGTGCTCATTTAAGTGCTGTATGAAGAGACAGTCTTCAGTCTGCGTGTGAAGACAGCGAGAGACTCTGCTGTACGGACAGCCAGTGGGAGTTCGTTCCACCACCTGGGTGCCAGTACAGAGAAAAGTCTTGATGCTTGTCTTCCGCGCGTCTTGAAGGATGGCGGGTCAAGCCGAGCTGTACTCGAAGCTCGAATTTTTTTGAGTTAAAGCTAAAGAAAGTCTCAAATCAGAGTCTATCTTTACCAGCAGAAAGACAAGATTCAATTAGAGGACAAAAGCACACTGATTCTTCCGGGGAATACCTCCTCAATTTATCAGCCTTGTGACTGATAGTCCGGCCCCTACAATTCACACCTTTGGCTAACCTGAAACCACACCTGAAGTTAGTAATTACAATTAAGCACTAGGTTCCACAAGACAGCCTTGTAGCTAACAGAGTTAAAGCTAAAGAAAGTCTCAACTCAGAGTCAGAAAGACAAGATTCAATTAGAGGACAAAAGCACACTACTATGTAGGGCTATAGGGCTATAGGAAGGCCCTACAAATTATTATACAGGGCTATATAGAGGGCTATAGGCATTACTGTAAAGGGTTACAAGGTGGGATATATACATACACATACATACACACACTATATGGATGACCATATACAGGGCGGTAGAGGGCCACAGGCATTTCTATGTAGGGTTAGACGGTCTAGTGAACTCTCAGGTCAGGAGAGTACAAATCTGACCTTTAAGCATCTGTATGGGTCAAATGCTACATGGACTAATTCTGTAACGCAGATGAAAGGATAGGATGACAGAGGAGCAAGCCAGCAGACACGAACATAAACGTCAGCACACGAGCTGACAGGGGACCCGAAAGTGTCATCCCTGACGAAACAGAACAATTACCTCTCCACCAAAACCGATGAGCCCAAATTTAAAAGCCTGTCAAAACATTCTTGAAGCAGAGCACTTTCAGAAAGCACTTCTGACAAGAAGAACAAAAGTGCTGACAGGAGAGGACAAGGGACGCCTCGGCCTTCAGTCACTCCGCTCCTGTCCAATTTTCCTCAGATCACATTAACCCTAGTGTACCAGGCCAGCCAGACGATTACAGAGATACGACCAGATGTGATCTCTCTCTGATCTGAGGTCTCTACTGATATTTGACAGGTGCACGCTTTACATAACAAAACAGACAAATGGCAAAACTAGTAAAAAGAAAAACTAAGGTTGAGAAATAATAGTTAAAGACAACGTTTAGAAGTGTGGAGATGATTGAGATGAATTAATTAACTGAATCAGTGGTTATTTACTTGTAGACCATTGTCAGAGAAGGGTCCAGCGGTCAATTTAAAGTGATGGTTCAGCCAAACAATCAGATTTAAACAGTTTTACCCCAAATATCTCTCAGTTAAGACATGTTTTGTGTGTCTGGAGATTGCTTCTTCAGTTTGCACTAGAGCTACAAGGCTAATGTACAAGGCTTATACCTCCCCTACAACCTGGGACTGTATGTCATTCTGTTATCTATAAAAACGGACAAACGCACACAGCATAGCTAAAAACAGTCATAGCGTCCATCTTAAAGCCTGAATTCTATGCATTGTCCATTTTTATAGATACAGTGTTAGAAACTACATAAGCAAGTCTATTTGATATTATATAACAACCCAATTCTGTATAGACAAATGTCTGATGAATAAGGCTTACAGTTTAGCACAATGGTAATTGTTAGCTTATTTACCTACGTTAGCTCCAGTGCAAAGCTAAACATACCAAATTCAGACATAAACCATGCCTTAGCTGACCAGTTACCTGTTAGGGTAAGGAGAAAACTGTGTAAATTAGATATGTAGTCAAAAAATGACTACATTGCAGGAGCAAAGCTGCTGACCTCCTTGCCCAGGTCTTCTCTGATGACCTGCTGGATCTCCTCCATGCTGCTCTGAGGCGCCCTACTGTGCAGGATCTTCAGGGTGCTGGTGTACTCTTCAGGAAGGAGGTAGTCCAGGGCACCCAGGTGCTGCCCTACCTTAATGAATGTGCCACGGTTAGCACAGCACAGGTCCCTGAGCCTCTCCGCTGAGCGTCTGTGGACCTGCATGACACATATACGCACAAATATTTAGGTTTGCTAAAGGCTTCAAGATCAAGAGGAACTTTATGGTCAACTCAACCACACAGGAATGAAATAAGGACTGCACAGTATTAACACAGGGGCCAAGACATAGACTATACATTAATAAGACAGTAGACTACAGTGAATTGCAAACAATACGTACAAACAAGTGCAAAACCCTAAACAAACACAAAGTAAAACACAATACAATTACAATACAATGACAAATACAATAAAACATGGGCCAAGATAGAATAAGACAGATGAAACATACAAGGATGAGAATAGTGCAAATAAGCAGAGGCCTGGGTAGACCTGTTTTTAGTGAGGTCTAGATGAGAGCAGGACTGGGTTGCACCAGGTTTGTGTTTATACATAAGTTTTGGCCCAATTTCCGTAGCTACACTAGTTAGTTTCCAACTATCCTTTTACTAAATTTGGTTGCACCACAAATCCGCAAGTCATGTCTTAACTAGCAACAACTAACTAATGCGTACGTCGCTTTAACATGACGATAACATGTTCAGAACCAATCAGTAAACCTGCTGCCATGGAAACGCAGCGGCAGCTATTCTCACTTTTTCAATGGAAAAAATATCCAGCATGGAACAAAACGATGTGTACAAGTTAAACAGAATAAAACCAATTATCTACAGCCGCTGTCTGTTTATTCTTTAATATTTCCCTGAGAAAACCAAATATTCAGCTTTATAAATGACGGTTTCTGGATAACCGACACAACAGCAGCCTCAGTTTAGCTGTTTGGGCTGCTGAGTCTCTCTGAGCTGGAGCTGTGGGTGTTCAGCTTCATGCTCGGAGTTTAAACCAGGCCGACGATTAGATCTGTAAGCAAAACCACAGCATATAGTGTTTACAGCTTTTAGCTTAGTTAACCAAAAAAGTCCTGTTTTTGGTCTTTTTGTGCTTTTTACATGGTTTCTGATGGTTTCCCCAAAACTTACACCTGCTTAGAGGGGGGTGTAAATATTTAGTAACTACTAAGCTGAATATCAAAACTAGTTTGTGTGGTGCAACCCATTCTGATTTAGTTATGCATACACCTGAACTTAGTAAGCACTCACGTTACAACTAGCCTACGTTTGAACTTAAAAAGCTGGTACAACCGGCCACTGATTCAGACTTCATACTTTATATTAGGCCCAATTCACTTCCAATTCTTCGATTCTTTTCTCCTCTATTTACATCACTGTCATAGAGGTGGCATCAACACATATTACCCTCCCAGCCAGCTGTGATTGAGCCAGCTTCCTTCAAAACAAGGACACATAAAATATGAGCCTTTTTCAAGTCTTTCTGCAGCTGCTTACTTACAGCGACAGGCCATCAGAAGCACATATACAATACGCTCTCATCACGTTCTTAACTTGCAAGTTGTGACTAAACTGCTTCTGATTTAGCCCAGTGTTTACAAAAGCAGCATTCAAAATCAAGAGAAAGGAACATTAGAGAAATATGAAATCATATTCACAACACAATAAAATAGCTGTTTCAGGTAGGTAGCACAAAAACATTTAAAAAAGAAATTGATTTCACAGCAGAATATTAAAGTACATAGTAGGCAAATAATCAGATCAGTCAGTGTAATTCTATAGCACAAGCTAATATTAAACACTTTAAAAATGGTCATTTACAAAAAGTATGTAAAAAAATCATATCAGACTAGAGTGTCACATTATTTACATATTAAAAATGAAGTAATTTTCTATGCCTTACCAAAATTCTGGACCTGTATTTAACTATAAAAATACAAAAACTCATAAAGCACTCCGATCAGGGAGAAAAAAAATGTTTTTTTTTTTTTTGTGATTGTTCTTGTGTGATTTCTAATAAATATTTCTTTGAAATTGTTTCATACATTCAGCCCTCACTCTGAAGATAATTTCATTAAAAAAAAGTTTAAAAACAAACAAAAAACCAAAACAAAACATAACACCTCCCCCTCTCATTTGAGGTCCTCTCATTTGTCTTAAATTGTGATTGAATGGGACGTCAGTTTTACAGAGATCTTTGTGCTGTCGCGGCCCCGGTGCCAGCTGGTGGAGTTGATAGCGTTCACAGAGGGACATCCCTTTGGGACCGGAGCAAATAAAGTGCCGTGAAATGAGCTCCCTTAACCCCTCACCCCAACAAAAGACATGCCTTTTGTGCTGAGAATGGCCCTGCATGGGGAAGTAGTCATCTGACTCAAATCATCATTCAAATGACAAAGGCCTCATATACCTAATTAGGGTAAAAACGCCTGCTGTGGGTGTTTGTGTGCATGCATACATACACATTCTGCAGTATTTTCTTTAGGCCTCTCACTGTTACTTGGTTTAAAACAGTAAGAAACAGCGTGATAGACATGACCATTTACAGGGGAGGAAAATACTTGGGTAACTGCACTTTGTTACTGTACATAAGCTTTATTTTGGAAGATTTCCACTTTGCTTGAGTATGATTGGAATTGAATACTTTCAATACTTTCAATTACATCTCTGAGGGAAAATCATACTTTTACTTCCTTACATTTTTATTTAGATCTTCAAACTATTCGTTACAAACCTCAAAGACGAGGAGTTTTTTTTCTCTTGCCATTCAGTTGAGTTCCTGCACACTTGCTTATCGTTTGTATTAAAACATCCACATTTATATCAGTGTGATATGAAACTGCAGCCATTCTTATTTGTCTTTATGCGAGGTGGGTAATGTTCATTTGTCACCACACACACTTCTATATATTTGAGTATGTTTAAAAGTCAATATGTTTCAGTTTTCATTCCAGTTTATTTCTGGCTCCACATTAAATGGACTATTTGCAAAAGTAATGATTGACACACATTCCCTTCCACAGCAAAGTTCAATGTCAGCTCAATGTCAAGATTATTAACAGGCAGAATTATGTTACTCTAAGTTAAACTGAACCTTATTTGGGTCACTGTACGTGCTAGGACTCGTTTCAATATCAGTTCAATAAATAATTTTACAGAACAACATCGAGATGAGTGCTAGTTTGAATGTTAGGGCACACAGAGCAACAGTACCTAAGAGAGGTGTGACTTGTCTAAATTTTGCAAATGATTTTGACACTCATACTTTCACTTCTGTATAGATTCTTTGCACTTTTTCATCTCTGCTCAGTTATATGCAATTTTTATGATAAAATACAGAAATATGATATTTTTCTGCAATTTTAATGCACAATTTCAATTTATTGAGTTTAAAATATTAGAAAAAAAATAAAACTCACAATATTAAATGTGCCATAACTTTTGCACAGGCTTCATTTTATCTTTTTTCCCCCTAATATGTTCAATTCGGTTAACAAACAGTAACTGTGCATTAAAATGTTCAGAAGCATCATGTCTGTAAAAGAAGTGTTTCCATTTTTAAACTAAGATTCTGGGCAGCAACGATTTATTTTCCAATGAAGTCTTCCTAGTTTATCTTTCTCTGATACAGCTTTCTGGAATCTTTGACAGGCTGGGCACAGTTCGTTACTGTTTAATTAAGTTCAGTTTAAATGTCTGATATTTTTGTAAAATGCTTACTCTTTTGATAAATCAAAATACCTGATAGATTATTACAAATATCAATCAGCGATGGCCCTGATTTTCCTCCTGGAGCTTGATCGCTGGTCCACACTGGAACTTGGTTAGTTCAGGGTGATCTTTCGGAAGGCTTGTTTTGGAGACAGTAAACACTTTTTGTCAGGCAGGATTTGCTCCTAATCCTCCTGTGCAGTGGGTGGGAGATTTGAAGGTTGTCCTGTGGGCATTTTTTTTATGCCGCCACTGTTTTTGCCCTGCCGCTGCCACATGAACGCCGGGGCCGTACTTCATGCACACAAAACCTCATTTTCCCTGCCTCGCTCAAGCCAACAGGATGTGACAGCTAGGAGCTAATTACGAAGGCGATGAGGAGACACTTTATTTCGGCGGTTACCAAACATGTGGCGCTCTCGTCCTCAGCCCAAACAGGCTTTTGATGGCAAGGAAGAGATGAGGAGGAAGGCTGAGCTAATGAGAGAGGAGAGAGGCGGTAATAACTGTAATGATCTCAGCCAGCACTCTCAGCCCGGCAGCAGCAGCTCCACTCCGCCATCCGCCATGCTTCTGCTTTTTAACCCTTAGGATACTAAAGCATCACTGAGAGGGAATATGTCTTTGAAATAGCTCAGACTGAGACAAACAACAATGATATTACACCAAAAAATAACATATTAACATATTAACATATATATTTCTGTTGTCAGAAGAAAACCTCATATCTCCAAAATAGTAACTTTACAGGAGAAGGAAAAAACGTACTTTACTTTTAATGTAAGTCAATGGAACCAGACTTTTTTCCCAAGCCATTTTCGGTCATTTCTTTTAGTCCATCCATCATGAAATTTACATACGATGTAAAGGGCAACAGGTATTTTCAAAATATGCGAAAAACTGAAAAACGTAAAAAATGGAGATATATATATATAATGGATATATATATATATCTCCATTTTTTACGTTTTTCAGTTTTTCGCTATATATATATATATATATATATATATATATATATATATATATGTTAATAAATAAAATTGACATATCCATTTTATTTGTTAACATACATACATATATATATATATATATATATATATATATATATATACACACACACACACATAATACAGGCTCAAAACATGGGAATCAATGTCTTCAACTATATAAAACAGAAAACAACATAAATATGTAGACAAATACTTTTGAATTAATATTTGTATTATTTATATTATATTTTAGAGAATTATTCATATATTGCATAAAACTAATCTAAAATAGCTTTTGTTGAACAGTTTGTAATATTTAAATATTTAAAAGTTTGTATTTAAAACAAAAAAAATGTAATAAGGAAGTGGTTTCAAACTTGGTCAGTATTGTTGGACAGAAGAACAATGTAGGAATAAGAAAATACATTCTGAAAAAAAAATCTGTGTA